CCCCCCGAGGTGCCACGCCCACTTTCAAGAAATAATCTTTTCCCTTCTTTGCTTTTATTCGTGCACACGAAATATCATTTTTCATCATTTGAACGTAAAAGCTATTTTAGAGAGTATTCCTCGCCTTTTAAGTTAGTTTCGCTTACTTAAAATAGTTTAAATCTTTGCCCAGGTGGAATCCAAAGATTGCAACAGGAAACCTCGTAGGATTCGTCTAGGACATTTATTCCAAGAAGCACTGCTCATATATTTTATTTTATTTATTTTAAAATATATATATATATATATGTCTTGATTTCAGAGAGAGGCAGGGAAAGGGGAGAGAGAGAGAGAAACATCAATGTGAGAGCAGAACATTGACTGGCTGTGAGTCCACAGCCCAGGCATTTGCCCTGACTGGGAACTGAACCAGCAAACCCTTGGTGCACAGGACCATGCCCAACCATCTGAGCCACAGTGGCAATGGCACTTGTACCAAGGTTTCTANAGGGCATCGAACCCACAACCTGGGTGTGTGCCCTGACTGGGAATCAAACCTCGATCTCCTGGATCCTAGGTCGATGCTCACCCACTGGGCCACACCTGCCTGGCACTGCTCATAGATTTAAAATATTTCTTCAGGTTATCACCAAATCTTGTGTAACTCACCTCATGAACTACATGAATCTTGTCTTCTTAATTCATACTCTCTGGTGCCTGGCTCTATAGAAATTCTTATTGAGTAGATGTTAATAAATATTATTGAAATATTTATCCATTTAGTGGTTTTTAAGTCCAGATCATTGGAGGTCTTGACTTCGAGAGATGCCCCAGAAACTGAAGACACTCCAGGCAGTTTTTAAAAGTTGCTTGTAGTTGATTAGGATGGGATCCTAGAGCCAAAATTCAGTAGTTTCTCAATTTCAAGGGCAGGTCTTGGCTTATACCCTGTGAGTCACAGGGCAACCAGACCTCCTCTTCAGATATTTTTTTTTTTTCTGTGATGTTTTCACATGCTTTTTTTGGCTCTAAGATTTGGATGAACTGTAACTTAAAAAAAAAAAAAAAAAGTTATGAAACAAACATAAGAGCTCAGGGAGGTCTTCGATTGCCCAAGATCTTGCAAGACCCCAAATGCTTTTCCAAACAAGCCCATCCTAGCTACTAAGAAGCCCACACCCTCCCTGGGACGACCGGAGGAGAGAGGGCGATTCTGACTCTCATGAAATGCAAAGTGCTCAGGGACCCCAACATGTGAGGACAGAGCTTGGCCCAGGAACCTCCTGCCTGCAGTTTAATGGTGGAATATTACTCCCCTTGGGGAGGGTTGCATGGACACAAGTTACTCATTGATTGAATCCCAACCCTGAGAGTGTTTCCAAAATCAATCACTCTTAAGTTGTTCCACATGTACTTGTAAATATGACTATAATGGCCCCTGTTACTGGGCTCTTGACAACCTATCTGCTGATACCAAAAATGAGAAAGGTGTACCGTGATGTTAAGATGTGGGTGTCATTTGGGGAGAAAAAGGGACATCTGTATTATTTTAAACAATAAAATTAAAATAAAAAAATAAATAAATAAAAATGTTTATTTATTTAAAAAAAAAAAAAAAAGATGTGGGTGTCAGATGACCTCGGTTGTTAAAAACCATTACGGACACGATACGCTAGCTGGGTCGTGTCAGAAGGTCGTTTAACCTCCGGAACATCCAGATACCTTGTTTGTAAAACAGAGATAAGAGATATCAAGTATATTATAAGGTAGCCGTGAAGATTAAATGAAATAATGTCTTTGTAACGGGCTTGGCACAATGCCCGGCGCGTGGCAAGCCTTCAGTAAAAATCAACCATTGCTATTAATAGTTTATTACACTCTTTGCAAAATCATACACTCAGGATGAAAGGATCTTAGGAGTCTCATGGAATAAGTTGGTCTCTCTCCTCCCGTTTTCCCACCAAGAAGTCTCCTGGCCCATGGTTGAGAACTTACCGTTCGACACCTCTAACTTTTTGGACTTTCTCATAGTGAATTAAATTGAGGCGTAAACCTGTAGCTTTCACCGTTTGGAAATGCACAGAGCAAAATGTAAACCCTTCGCCGCCACCCCCCGACTGCCCTGTGTGAATGAGAAAATATCTCTAATCGTAGGGTTTTCTTCAACTTCCTTGGAACTTTTCCCTCAACTCCCCTTAAAGCTTTCGTTTCATCTTTCTCCTTCCCTTCAGCACCAGAATTTTGGAAAGAATCTACGGCTGGTTTCAACTTCTTCCAGTTTTTATATTCAGCACCTTGGATATAGTGTCTGATTGTACCACTGCCCAACACTGAAGCACGGGGGCCTCTCCACCCCGGAGTCAAAACACAATGAAAAACAGATAGTAAAATTCTTCCCCCTTCACTGAGACCTTTGTAATGTCCTAATCACTCTCCTGAACGTTTTACAGATATTTTCTCGTTCAGTCCTTCCTAGGCCCTTTATGAAGTACGGACTGTCATCCCTATTTCCTTCTTGAGGAAAATGCCTCTGAACGTTTGAATTGTTCAACATCCTGTCGCTGGAAAGGGGTGGCAGGGCGGGGTTGGGTTTTGTCTTTAAACAGCAGGTAAATAAATGGGAATAAAGATGAGTGAGTGCGGGGAGGTAGAAACGATCACATTAGTTAATATTATTGGGGATATTATATAAACGACATATTGGTGAAATAAGAAATAGAAGACGTAGCCCCTTTTGTTACAGAAGGAAGCTCACAATCCAACAAACACATACGCGCACACAAATAACTCACAAAAAATCGTAAGTCACTGGAGTCTGAAGGATAGCAGTGTAACTGTATTCTATATGAGACATCGCTCTCATTCACCCCTTTCTTACATTCAAAAAATTTTTTATAAAGAGAAATATAGAGATATAATGACATAAAGGTGGAGATATACAGGTATAGCTATCCATAATGATAAAGAGGAGGGGATATTAAGATACAGATATATAGAGGGATATGGGCAGATAGATAGTGAGACACAAGTATATGGAGATTGAGATGAAAATAGAGAAAAAAATGTATTTTAAACTATGGACCAAAAGGTTATAGTTTTGGACCACATGCATGTTGATTTTCAGTTTTTCAAAACTGAAAGTTAGACATTTTCTCTCCATGGCTTCAGGATAATGATCGTTTGGGAAGGAGATGAGAAAGTAGTGGAACGGGGTGGAACAAGTGATTGGGGAGAAAAAGGGACATCTGTAATATTTTAAACAAAAATAAAATTAAAAAAAAAAAAAGTAGGTCTAGGGTAGACGGAGGAAGAGAGGGGAGGGGAGGGGAGAGGGGAGAGAGGAAACTTTATCTGTAAATTTCTACTTCTTTTATACACACAAAAATATCTGAATAAACTTGTAAATAGAATAAGAGTGGGGGTGTGAGGGGACAGCTTCAGTTCTTCCCTTTTAATTATTTGGGCCTCGAATGGAATCATGCTCTACTCGGAAGCTTCGTATTATTCCTATTTTTAAAAGCTGTGTTCTCATAGAAGGGAACCAACTCATGCATTTGAGGAGGAAATCGCGTTCCGCCTCCCGTGTTCTCACCGGGTCCTGACACCCTGCTCTCTCTCCCAGGCGGTGGGCTGTGACCGGCAGCTGGGGAGTCACGCCAAGGAAGACAACTGCGGGGTCTGCGCCGGCGACGGCGCCACCTGCAGGCTCGTGCGGGGACAGTCCAAGTCACACGTCTCTCCTGAGAAAAGTAGGTTTCAAACCCAGTACGTAAAACAAAATGTGCTTTAGACCGTCTGTTAGTCATTAGAATGACATTTTCCTGACGCTAAGCTTTTCGGTTGGGAAAGAGCTTTTGACCAGTTTCCTGGAAGCCGGATATCTTCTGAAAACTATCAGATTTTTGTCCGTTACTTCTTCCAAGAGCACCTGTTTCTGTGAACCTTTGCCAACACAGAGTGTGACTATTTTTACATACTTGCCGATTTTTAAAAATCTGTTTTTATTGATTTCAGAGAGAGGAAGGGAGAGCGAGAGAGAGAGAAACATCAATGATGAGAGTCATTGATCGGCTGCCTCCTGCACGCCCCCTGCTGGGGATCGAGGAGCCTGCAACCCGGGCATGTGCCCTGACCAGGAATCGAACCCTGACCTCCTGGTTCATAGGTTGACACTCAACCACTGAGCCACGCCAGCCGGGCCTGTTTGTACTTCTTAGTAAGATAGCTCCCCGTCCCCCTCTCTTTCTCACACACACACAAACACGCACATTGATTTTCAGTTTTTAAATTATAGATTGAAAAACCTATAGAAAGGCATTTTCTCTCAATGAAAATGTGCATGTTCCCACGTGCTCCACATATTGCCATTCTGATTTTTTGAGGCATGGACCTCAGACCTCTGATTCTAGTTCGGAGCATTCTGGGTTAAGAGCCCCAAAAAACCTAATGTCTTTGGCTAATTTCTGCAAAGAAGTGAGTGCAACTGGGTTTTACAGACAGATCCTCGAGCCTGGTCGTGGCTGTGGGCATCCCGCAGGCACGCCGCCCAGTTCTGTCTGCGTGGGCCTGGGCAAAGGCCAGCGTCAGCCGAGGTTCCTGTCCGCGTGAAAACACGGTGCGTCTAGCCCTTGCTTTCCACGACGGCACCTTCTTTCTGTTACTGCTCCGAAGCTGGCCCGCCGAGGCCGGATTTGGCTGGGATTTTCCACGGGCCATATGGAAGCACTTTCCTGTAATCACGCTCTGTGTGAAAGAAATGTGGAACGTGGAGCCACGTCTCCCCCCGAGTGTGCATCGCCGGGCCCTCAACATCCACGATGCGCCTGGGACGCACGCTGAGTGGGGACACGGCGGGGAGACGCTCTTGGCGCAGCCCTGACCTGGGGACCGAGAGCAGGGTTGCTCACGGGCTGTAGTTTCCATCCCGCTGTGCGGCGGCTTCAAGGTGTAAGAGCCTGGAGCCAAAAACCTTTGCTATGAGAAAAATCAGAAACCCATCCAGATACAACACATAAATTTCCTGTGCAGAGGGAGGAGAGAGACTGAGCTAACAACTGGCATAAACAGCGTTGGATGTTGGAACAGGGGGCTGGAGGCCACTCGGTCGGTGTTCAAAGAGAAAGCTCTAAAAATGGCAGCGAGGTGGCAGACGTGTTGATCCGGAGAGTCCCGGCTTGGCACTTAGGGACCCGGTTGTGTTTCCAGGTTTGTCCCTTACTTTGGGACGCACATAAGGACGCATGTGCATGAGGCCAGTAAGTAAGTTAGGCCAGTAAATAAGCTCAGCTTGCCTGGCATGGAATCTTGCACCTTTTTACCCGGCGGCAAGTAAGTGCCGCTGGTACCTGTTGGGACTGGGATGCCCGAGGCGGGCCGGGAACACCAGCAGTGTTTCCATGGAGTTGTTTTTATTATTAGTAGTAGTATTATTAGCATTTATTCAGATACCTTGCTTCCTGTTTAAAAAACTCCCTTAGCCCTGCCTGGTGTGGTTCAGTGGTTAGAGCATTGGCCACGCACCAAAGGGTCACAGGTTTGATTCCCGGTCAAGGGCAGGTACCTGGGTTGCAGGTTTGCTCCCCAACTGCGTGCGGGAGGCAACCAGTTGATGTGTCTCTCACATCGATGTTTTTTAATCTCTCTCTTCCCTCCTCCCTCCCTCTCTCCCTTCCACTCTCTCTGAAAAGCAATGGAAAAAATATACTCCAGTGAGAATTAACAAAAAACAAAACAAAACACAGCTCCCTTATTCCTTGGGAATGGGGAGTGGGAGGAGGGGGTGCGTGTGTGTTTGAATCCAAATAGCAGGAGGAAAGAAATGCAGGGTCAAGAAAAGTAACGTGCAAAATCCTGGACAGGAGCTTTTGTTCAGCAAAAAACAACCAAGCGTGTTAAAAAAAGACAAAAACACAACAAAAATCAGAAATAAAACCAATGTTTTTTTTTAAAAAAGTGGAAATGAGGTCAAATTGCGAGTAACTAAAACATCTCTTTCCTTGTGTTATTGGGGCAGGTATCTGTTTAGGCTGGTGTAGTTCTAGTTGGACTTTATAGTGAAAGTAAATGATCCGATATAAATTTACAGACCTTCTGGGGCTGAAACTGATGTTTATTGATTAGTTAATGTTGTGTGGACAATCCATTTCCTGCATGTCTTGCTGCTTAGTCAGGCTGTGATCTGCCGCAGGAAATGAGGCATAGAAAAAATACGGCGGACCAGCTGGACTTGAGCATTTGTGTGTGGGAGGGAAGTGAGTGGAAGCAAATTTTGCGGGTCCTTAGGCCAGCCCAGCGGCTGCAAAATCAAAACAAGGGCAACCCATGCAGAGAACGTCTGTGACCAGTGTCTGAGTTGGAGTTAAAACTTGGTGTCAGAGTCGAAGGGTTAAGAGTGTCACTTTTGGTTCTGACCCCAGCTCTACTGATTTGGAAGTCTCTGATCTTACGTCACTTAAACTTGGAAAACTTTAGTTTTCTTAATGGTAGAAATGGGTGTTTATTGGACTGAATGAGGTCATTTATCTTAAGTTAGTTACTTAGCATCATTCCTGGGGACATACTAAGTGTTCGGCATGGTTTTAATAATTTACACTTATCAAGACCTCATTAGACCCTCTCAACAACCCTTCAAACAAATACCTTGTCTTCATCTTATAGATATAACAGGCACAGAGAAGGTAAGAAACGTGCCCAAGGTCACACAGCAGTTGTAAGTGGCAGAGCTGGTATTCCAGCCCAGGTTGTCTGGCTCCAGGGTCTTTGATCTTAACCACTATTCCATAGTGTCTGTCACTAGACGTTTGTAAAATACTGCAAATGACTTTTAAGCATGACGAGGGGGAGCCCTGGAAAATGGCACAGTGGTTGACAGTATCAAGGATCTCGTACCCCAAATTTCACTAGAAAAGTTTTGGAGAAGTTCTAAATAATGGAAGTGGTCAGCAGGAACCAGTTACCACCACCATCACCACCACCACCATCACCATCACCACCATCACCATCACCATCACCACCACCACCACCACCACCACCATTACCACCATCACCATCACCATCATCATCACCACC